CAGAATCATATGCACATATTATAATAAAAATAGTAAAATATAATTAAATTATTGTATTAAAAATATATAATCAGGGACGATGATCTCCTGCTTTAAGCAGAAACTCGCAGATTTAGCAAATTTATGAAAATTAATGGATTATCTCAGATTTTTAAAAAAAACTGTGATCTATATACTAATCATATTAAATTTTTTTTTTAAGGTTTATTATTTTTTTTTATAATTTTTTTGTATTTAAAATATCAAGAAAAATGACTTACACTCTGATCAGATGAAAGGAGTTTTTCAATATATAATAATATTTTAGATAACAAGTATTTTAATGTGAATTAATTTTGAAAAAACTTTATAATAAAAAATATTCAGCAGATTTTAAAAATTGATGTAAAAAATTGCGACGGCAAAATTATAATTGTAAGGCTCGCTAAAACATTGCAGTTTTAGCGCAGATTTTACAAAATATCGCTGCAGGAGATCATCATATGCATAATGTTAAATAGCATTAAATATCATTAAATTTTAATTCACCATATCGCATACATGTTTTAGACATGTTAATTAAACTAATACAAGAACAAATTTTAAAAAAAATAATACTATATTTTATTCTTTTTTTCATTTTTGCATTATTCTTTTAATAATAACCTTGCATATTTTTCCCTTCCGCATTGTTCTCCTTTCTTTTCTTTTTTTGTCTAATATGAACGCTTTGCAGAAGATATTGTATTCGTATTATTCAATATGAAAAAACTTATCTTAAAATTTTATATAAATATAACTTTGATTTTAACCATCTCAAAAATCAAAAAAAAAAATAAAGTACTTCATAACAAATTATTAATTCCTTTAAATCTATAAAAATTATTATGTTAACAAATATCCTTGTACTAAACAATTTGACACTAAACTAATGAATTTTTTGACAATTTATGATGAATACATTATGATCCTAAATTATATAAAAAGCAACATAAATTATATCAATAAATATGAATATAACCGCTTATTTAACTTGATGGCATTAGTCCTCTTTGAGAACTATAATGATTATATCGAAAAATATAAAAATAAAATTTAATTTTTATATTATTAATTGAGTAGCGAGATCCAGTTTGTTCCAAATATCGGCTGGAGACTCAAGGTCATGAAAATATTTTTTTTTATTTTATTTTTATTTTTATTTTTATATTATATATATATATATATATATATATTATATTTAATTGAGTAGCGAGACCCGGTTCGTACCAAATATCGGCTGGAGACTCAAGTTTTCAAAATTCTTTTTTTTTATTTTATTATTTTTTTTAATATATTTAATTGAGTAGCGAGGCCCAGTTCGTACTAAATATCAGCTAGAGACTCAAGGTTTTGAAAATAATCATTTTTTAAATTCATTTTATTTTTTTTATTTTATTTTTTATATATGGTGTCTATCACCTATAAACAGCCTTAGTCCAAAATTTCAGATGTAGATTATCACATGACTTTTATAATAAATCACATGACTGTGCATTTTTTTTATTGCGAAGCAGCATATAGCATGTAGATAACGGTTTTATTATTTTATTTTATTCAATTCTGACAGTACATATTTAGGGATACAATGGTGAGACTTGTATTTTTTGGCAGTATATTCTGCCAACTTACCAGTGATTTCCTTTCTATACAAATCCATGTAATGCCACATCTTCCTAGCGAATCTTCTTATTGTAATCGTGTCAACAGATTCCAAGGCTTCAGGAATGATACGTTGCAAGCCTAACCAAGAGTAGTCACAATTCTTTCAAGCATATCTTTTTACCGCATCCCAATATCGCTCAATGTAATTCAATTCGCAGTGGAACTTCAGGTAAAAGATGCATTTATGTCCAGCTTCCAGTATGGTTTCTTTTAATGCACTTTTTTTGTAATAAAAAATCTGGCTGTAACGAAATGATTCTTCTTGTACAACATTCTGTCTGATTTATATCATCCACCTTATCCTTGCATAACTTACAGTCAGCAATTAATCCATTTTTCCACAACCCTCATTCGATCAACACTTGTTTCATCCCTTTTGGCTCATTATTTTCATTGACCATTGATTGGTGGCGGTTGTCTGGTCTAAAACCCGTATCTCGCATTTTCGGTTGCTTGCCTCTGGGTTTTAGGTTCATCCGACTTGCCACAAGTGCATCAAAACTGTATGCTGCATGGTTTGAACTATTATCAAATGCAAACAAGGTAACACAGTTTGGAAAAATGGTTTCAAAAATTGGTATGATCTTAGTTTTCACTTGTTCAACTAAATTCTCACTCATCCAGTATCCATCCTGATCTTTTTCCGATTGAAGATAAACTCGAGCTTCTTTAAGTATGGATGAGTTTTCTTGATGTTGCTGAGAGTTTAATTTAAGTTGGCCACATTCTTCTGTCAAAAATTCACTAATCATGATAGAATGCCTATTTCCCTTCTTGCGTAATAAAAACTCCCCAGATTTTGCCCACACTTCTCGTTTACCCTCGTTTGAGTAGAATATACATTCATCATGAGTTATGTAAATTATTTCCTTTTCATTAGATTCCAATATAGTGGCATCCGTTCCATATTCTCCCTCTCATATTTCACCATATACTTTTCATAACTAAACATAGTGTCCAGAAACGATTGTTGATACCTTATAATATCAGGGTACTCATGTCCATCATAGTATATGCCTATATATTATGATGTAAGATTAGTTTATAAACTTTTTTATTTTTTTTTTAATAATTAATTCATTCTTACCTTGTTTCTGTGATTGAAAGAAATATCCAAGTACATCAAGCCAATGTGCTGCAGTTGCTATACTAATGGTCTTTTTTTTCAATATTCCCAAATTTACAAGGAGTTTTTCTTCAACAAATTCCTTAAATTTTAGCGGAGTGGTTGTCCCACCTTGAGATCGAATTCATGTATGGCATTTTTCCGTTATATCTTCATTATCAATTAAGCGTACTATTTTTTGATGTTTGCCTTGATGACTTATCGAAAGATTGTTATATTGGAGCAATAATTTGCCCAATAACAGATTGTTTTTGCTCTATATGATGCACTCTCAATAAACACTAATTTTGCTACTTTTATACTTGCTTTTACCTTTCCATTTCCATTATCATCTAATCTTCTCAAATATTCAAAGATTGCTCGTTTTTTGTTATATTCAGTCACTGTTAATGACTTTTGTTTTTCTTTAAGTTCAACTTTCAAATTTTCGATTCTTTCTTTTAGATTAAGAGACATATAGTTAAGTTTATCAATTTCCATATCATCTAAAACTTCATTAAAATCAGCCGGAATTGATTTATGTTTATTTATAAGTGTTAATATATTTGCAGTTCCTTTCGCAGCTTTTGTAAAGGAGCCACTTGGTTTATATTTATCAAATATGTTGATTTTTTGGTTTTTCCAGTAAGGTAAGGTCTGCGTTTCTTTTGTTCCAAGTGTGCATTATCTGACTAAACTAATTCACAATTTTTTCTTTGTTTGGTAAAAAAACTTTATTCCAACTGCTAACATCTTCATCCCAACCGCTGTCATTATCATTTTCCCAATCATCAAAATCATCTATTCGTAATTTCTTTGCAAATGTTTCATCACCGTTTCTTTCTTGCTCTTTAATTCTAGCTTTTCTTTTTGATGGATGAGTCATACTTATTTTGTAGATGATCAAAGTGTGGAAAATTTGGAAAAAATGGCAGTTTTCATGTGAAAATTTCATGTACAAGATGCTGAACCTTAGTCTGAAATTTTTCATTTACCATATGCTTTCTTATAGAAAATTCTTGAACTTTGAACTAAAATAACTTTAAATATTTTATAATATTTTGTAAAAATAAACTGATATAAATGTTCTTCTTATACTGTACTTTCATTTCATTGGATTAAATTTATATAAAACTGATTTATTTTAAGCTATAAAGTTTTAAAATCATGTGATTTTTAGGCGGTTTATAGGTGATATACACCATATTAATTTATTTTATAATTAATTAATTGAGTAGCGAGTGCCAGTTTATACCAAAGATCGGCTGAAGACTCAAGTTTTCAAAATTTTTTTTTTTTTATTTTATTTTTTTTATTTTATATTTTTTCATATTTTTTTTTAATATATTTAATTGAGTAGTGAAGCCCAGTTTGTACTAAATATTAGCTGAAAACTCAAGGTTTTAAAAATAATTGTTTTTTTTAAATTTATTTATTTTTTTATTTTTTTTTATATATTTATTTATTTTATAATTAATTAATTGACACAGGTCGAACGCTGATAAATAGGGTATCTTTCCGATTGGTCACTATTTTTTGATCAGCAATCAATAAATAGAAATCGGTAGATACTACAAATCGGGTATAAATCAGTTAATAGTATAATCTTAATTATTAGGTAGAATTATATAAATTGGTTTCCAATCTGATTTTGCTTATTTTAAAAAATTTATAACTATATATTAAATAGTAACAATTTAGGTTCAATAAAAAAAAGAAAAACTCTTTCTGCTGATCCGCCTGACCATGCCTTAGCAATGAAAAACACCAAAAAGTTTTAATAATAACCCGAGCAAAAAAGCTCAACGCGGCCGTTCTGGTTCGCCAACAAATGAAAGAGCAACTAAGAAACAACAACTTGATACCC